TTTTTTCAGTCAACCTGAGACTAAAAAAATATTTCTAATATTCCTGTAGCTTATCTGTGTCTTAAGTTTCCATCCTTGTCCATTTTTTCCTGGTTCTTTCCTTTCTGCCTTGTTCATGCCTCTCAGCATTTTACGTTGTAATTATATCCTTTTCTCACCGTGCTTCCGGGGTTTTCAGATTCAGTTCCGAGTCCCTCCAAGTATGGCATTCCTCTCAACTCCGGGAAAAAGTAATATTGCAACATCTAAATCTTCTGTAGCTTTTACACGTGCTCTGTCAGGCGGGAATCCCACACTGAAGCTGCATATTCACGAATGACTTTGCATGAATCGTATATAACATTCTAAATTACTCTTTTATTTAGTTTCCTGAATACTCTCTTAAGATGTTTTAGGCTTGCATATACTGCCGATGCTTTATTGTTTGTGTGCTCCTTTGGGATTTATATCTAGCAATTCTGACCACGGCATTCTTTTTGTTTGTTTACACTCACTGGTTTGTGTTTTTGGGGTGTCGAGACTTATCTCCTGGCCGCCTTGCCTCCTAGATCACTTTGTCCAACATCACTGATTTTTGGCCCCTTAGGCTTTATAAAGCTTACTACTACACGACTGCTGGCTCATATTGGTTCCTCGTAATTAATTTCCGCTATGTTGTAATTATTTTATGAGGAAATCAGATCAAGTCTCGCTGGTTCAGTTTCTCCTTTCACTCTTAATGTTTCCTTTACACGTTGGATCTGAATGTTCCTCATTCCTGCTTCTATAAATTTCACTCTCCGTGTTTCTGGGTTTCCATGGGTAGTCCCACTTTTCTTAGTCACTTTTCCATGTTCTTTAAATCTCCAGTGATTTTTGGCCACCAGTGCAACCCCTTCTCCTCCTTTTTATACTCTTTGGTAGCTCTCTGGGAATACCACATTTGTTATACTGAGAGTTTTGTCAGTGTTAAAACTGCTATATCAGGATTTTAGTCCTCAATTCTTTCTTGGCTTCTATTTTGTTGGTGATTCCATCCACATTTGAACACCATACTCTGATTCTTCTATCTCTTACTGTCTTCTGAACATGCTCTTTACTTCATTTCTGTGGGAACTGGGCAGGGAATAACTGCAGAGAGCTGGATTATTTACTGTACTGTTTACTCATGTTACTCATCCCTTTCACAATCGGACTCCGTTCTCTGCTGCATTACTCTGTTTCCCTCTTTTTTTTTTCCCCCTGTCTCTTCTGCCTTTTGTTCCTCTTGGAAAAATTGTGACCATATATCCTGATGCAGATGGAATCATCAGGACAGTTGATGTTTTTAGCAAAGGTGTAGTGAATAAGCGGACAATAAATAAACTAGTGCCATTAGAATTACACAGTGTTGAAAACAAAATTAGTGATTCTCCAGAAACCACACAGCCTTAAGCTGTTCAGAAAAGACAAGCAGCAGTGGTGGCGAGTGAGAAAATCAAATTAATGTTAAGTGATGAATAGTTCACCTGCAGCGAACCTCCACCACCCCCCAGTGTGGAGAAATTTTCTCCAGGAGGGGAGTATCAGCCCCCTTCAGCCCCTTTCAGCCCTGAGGGGCCCAGCCCTCTCCAAAGGGGCAAGTATCTTGTTTACTGCTATATCAAGTAATTGATCCCAGATGCAGTACAAGCATGTGATGTGGTCATGCGGCCATGGCTCCTTGCAAGAGGCTGATGTTGCAAGTAGTTTAGTTTAATAAGAGACAGACCATCTCTTACCTTAGCAGGCCAATTAGGGAAAATCCTGCTCCCACTTTATTACCATGGTAAGGATAGTGTACATTGTTGTCTCTGCTTAAGACAGCAAGAATCAAGCATTCTGCTTTGCTTCCTGGTGGAAGTTTGGCAAGGAAGCAAAATGTACTACGTCAGCTTTTCCTTTATGTGCCAGGGGCATTGCAGCGACGTAGGAGGCTGTGAGGTCAGATTACTTTTGACCCTACTGGGACTCGCACTGATGCTGGAATAACCAACAAAGAACACTGATCCATGCATTAGTGTGAACAAAGTGTCTCACAAAACACAATAAACACAGAGAAGTGTGATCAACTTCTATAGTGATAAGACTGTGAATAATAAAGACACAACTTGTGGAACATAGTGTACCAGTGTGCATATTCCTAGACTATGGAAGACATGGACATCCAAGGACACTTCAGCTTCTATCAAGTCAGCAATACCTGTCGAGGGTGTAAAGAACACCATAGCTCATGCTACAAGAGCAGGGTAGGTTACAAATTATCTTGTAATACAGGGGACTGCACAGCTCTTGTGCCGCAAGGTGTTTGTAATCAGATTATAGTCAGCAGAGAGGTGTGGACTTTTGAGTCCACACAAGTAAGTTTTCCAGTCAGCAATCAGTTAATGAAATATGCTGACATAATACCCCCTAGGGGTAATTTAAAACCATAAAATATTTCCTTTAGAACCCATTGAGAAGTGGCTACGACACCTCAAGAACTCGCCTGCAGGGGCGGCTGTGTAGGCGAAAGCTGTCTATCATGCTAAGTTCCCCCTATATTTAATATTTAACCTTAGTTGTACCATTCCTCAACAGGCTCTCCCATACAGACTGGCTTGGTTTAATTTGCAAAACCCAGGACAACTTGTTGTAGGTTAGCAAATAAGCAAATAAGGCATGAAGCAATTAACCAGGAAGCACTGTAGACAAGGCTGGAGGATGCCTGCTTAGTTGTAGGTTGTGTCATCTGTCTAGGCTTCCACGTGGTCACGTACAACCGACTGGCTTGGAAGAAATCTCCGTATGTCTGTGTAAACGTCAAAATCACGCCCATACTGCTGGCGCCATTTGTCGTGGGGGTTCGTGAGGAGATATTGAAGTAAGGAATACATTACTTTGGATTGTCTTGGAGGCGTATAATTAAGAGAGTCTGGAGGTGAAGCCCAGACCTGCCTGTCGAGTCTAAGCCTAGTGATGAACTGAAGCGGAGGCCTCTATCTGGCGGCACACGAGTGGGACTCGTGACGTCATGCCTATCCATAAAGTAGCTGGGATTATCTAAGTATACTATACAAGTACACAGTAACATAACTGACAATTGTTTTTGTTTTGCACCATCATTGTTCTTGTCCAGCACCATCATTGTTTTTGTCCTACACCATCATTGTTGTCCTGAACCATCATTTTTGTGTTAGGTAAGACACATATGCAACAGTTAGGTATCTTTATTATGAAACGTTTCGCCTACACAGTAGGCTTCTTCAGTCAAGTACAGAAAAGTTGATAGAAGCAGAAGATACTTGAAGACGATGTAATCAGTCCATCACCCTTAAAGTTTTGAGGTGGTCAGTCCCTCAGTCTGGAGAAGAGCATTGTTCCATAGTCTGAAACAATATGGAGATGAAGTGACAGAATGGAGCTTTTTATAGCGCCAAGAGGTGAGACGTAGGCCACTAGGAGAGGTAAGAACTCAGATGTTGAGAGGTCAGGTCCCTCTCAAATCCAGCCGCTCTCCATCCTGTCACTTCATCTCCATATTGTTTCATACTATGGAACAATGCTCTTCTCCAGACTGAGGGACTGACCACCTCAAAACTTTAAGGGTGATGGACTGATTACATCGTCTTCAAGTATCTTCTGCTTCTATCAACTTTTCTGTACTTGACTGAAGAAGCCTACTGTGTAGGCGAAACGTTTCATAATAAAGATACCTAACTGTTGCATATGTGTCTTACCTAACAACCTGTCGGTATTTTATACCATTTTAATGTTCCATCTTTTTTGTCCTGCACCATCATTGTCGTCCTGCACCATCATTGTTGTCCTGCACCGTCATTGTTGTCCTGCACCGTCATTGTTGTCCTGCACCATCATTTTTGTCCTGCACCATCATTGTTGTCCCACACCATCATTGTCCTACATCATTGTTGTTCTGCACCATCATTGTTATCCTGCATCATCGTTGTTGTCCTGCACCATCATTGTTGTCCCTCACCATCATTGTTGTCCCTCACCATCATTGTTGTCCCTCACCATCATTGTTGTCCCTCACCATCATTGTTGTCCCTCACCATCAATGTCACTCATATTCGTGTTGAACATATTTGCTGCTTGTCCAGACGAATTATTTTTTCAGTTGAGTGATAAGTTCAATGCTATTAGGTTTATAAATATAATGAATTCTTCACATGAAAATAGTTTTTGTACTTAAGATAAGATAAGATTTCGTTCGGATTTTTAACCCCGGAGGGTTAGCCACCCAGGATAACCCAAAAAAGTCAGTGCGTCATCGAGGACTGTCTAACTTATTTCCATTGGGGTCCTTAATCTTGTCCCCCAGGATGCGACCCACACCAGTCGACTAACACCCAGGTACCTATTTGCTGCTAGGTGAACAGGACAACAGGTGTAAGGAAACGTGTCGAATGTTTCCACCCGCCGGGAATCGAACCCGGGCCCTCCGTGTGTGAAGCGGGAGCTTTAGCCACCAGGCCACCGGGCCACACAACTTATCACACACTTATCATTGTATTTTGCTGTGTACATTATTCTAGTGTTGATATCTATTATTGTATTTATGTTGGTTTATATGAGTGTTTTGAACAGATAAATAATTTTGTGTATTTATGTATTTGACTTGAGTATATATCATTATATAAGTTTATCAGTTTGATTTTCAATATTAAGACTGCAGCTTAATTTCATATTTCGCTTTATTTCATTTTTTATATTTTAGAAATTTAACATTTTTGGTTGTATACTTTAAACTTGCAGATTTTCTTATATGTTGTTAGGTAAGACACATATGCAACAGTTAGGTATCTTTATTTTCGAAATAAAGATACCTAACTGTTGCATATGTGTCTTACCTAACAACCTGTCGGTATTTTATACCATTTTAATGTTCAGATTTTCTTATAGTTTGTTTTGTGATGTGATGAGGTTTTCATACTGTTTTGCAAATACAATAGTTGTTGTGTGCAGTTCATTAAGTGTTGTTGTTGTTGTTGTTGTTGCAGACATCATGAGTAGTGGTCATCGTGGCACCAAGGCCCTGGAGCTGTGGGCTCGACGGGCCACTGATGGCTACCAGGGCGTCAACGTCTCCAACATGACCACTGCCTGGCGCAATGGTCTCGCCTTCTGTGCTCTCATACATCGCTTCAGACCAGACCTCATGTAAGTCTCATCTTGCTACACTCATTCACTTGTCTTACTCGTTAATCACTGATAGACATTAATTATAGCTACGTCTTGCTCGCAAGAGCTTTATTGAGCCAATTGTCGTAATTCGTTGGTTTTATTGAGTTGTGATGAATGACGTGTAGTAATAATTGTCATATTTATTACCCTTCTCTGTTTGTTGCTAATTTTGCCTTTATGTTTGTTTTGTGTAGTTTTTAAGAGTATTTTTAAACTCGCTATAAATAGCGAGACACATTCACCCTCACTCATTTAGTCGCTGTCTTGCAAGAAACTTACTGACGTCACAGTTCAGATGAACCTTCAGACTGCAACATTCCCATGCGCCCTTCAAGTCCGGCTAACCTGTTTCCATGAATCCCTTCATAAATGTTGCAAGCTTGTTGTATTATGTTGAAGCAACTATCACAATCAATTATGTCATAAAAATTATTGTATATGTTCTGAGACTAAATTACTGAATTAATGGTGAAAATTGAGCTACACAATTACAGTTAGAATGGCTTAAGAGCAGGAAAACCTTGGTAATCAGAACTATTAGCTCACTGTGACAAAATTACCAAAATGCTGCTGTAATCTGCAAGGATCACATCGAAGTCCAGTATTTGCAGAGCAAATAGTTTAACACCCCAAGGCGCTGTCCTGGCACCATTACTGTTTCTCATCCTCATCACATAGACAAGACAACAGCTTCTTATTATCTTTTGCAGATGATATCAAAGTCAGTGCGAGTCGACCCAGTAGATATGACAAAAAAAAATGAGATACCAAGAAAGTCTTCCAATGAGCAAATTAAAATAATATTGTATTGAAGGGTGACAGTTCACCGAACATAATATACAGAAAGTTAGCAGATCATATTCTCAGGAACATAAGCAACAGGTAGAACACCTAGGAATAATATGTCAGGTGATCTGTTATTTGGAAAACACAGTACAGCAAATGTAACGAAAACCAGGAAATTTTCAAACTGGATTATGAGAACTTTCAGAATATAACCAACGCCAATGATAGTTATTTTCAAATATTTTTTCTCTTGCAACTTGAATGTTGTTGTGTGCTCGCAGCATCTTCCAAGGCAGGGAAGATCACAGCTGGAAAATGGGTAGAGATCGCATGCTGACTACACAGAATCAATAAAACATCTAAAATCTTAGGAACTGAAAGGTCATGAATTGTTCTCTTTGGAACGGAGAAGAGACAAAATTATATATGTATTATATAATATATATATATATATATATATATATATATATATATATATATATATATATATATATATATATATATATATATATATATATATATATATATATATAACGGTACGAGAGGACTTTGTCCCTCTCCTACACAATGCTTTAATAAATTACTGTAGTGAAAGATACGGGAGATTTTGTGGCATAAAGAGAGGAAAGAGCAAGGGATTGGTGATGGATGTAACATCCTATATGTGGAATTCTTCACACACTGATGGAAGCTGTGAACCTGCACTCTTACAAGTATATAGAGCCAGACGAGATATGATTGAAGTGTAAATGTATAAGACAAATGAAAATGAGAGAGATATAATTAAGTACTGAGGATATCAAACTAAAAAAAAAAGACTATTCAATAGTGGATTCAAGTTGGATAAAAAATTATGATGAGAAAATAAATAGATAATATAGGAGAGTAGGAAAATATAAGTTATATTGTATGGTAAGACTTGCTGACTCATGCAAGTTGTATTTAGTAGTAGTATGATAGAATTATGTGCAAAGAAAAACTTTATTGACTTATAATAAACTCTGGGTCGTCATTAATGATTTTCTCTGTACACAACCTCTTATTATAATAATGATTGTGATAACTTGTTAAAAATACCAGGATAGGGGGGAATTATAAGTCATATTCTGCGCTGTATAACTATATGTGGATGTGCACAGGTATGTTACAGGGAAATATACTCTTAACCATGTTAGAACAATATGCAATGTACAGCAGTAGAATGGTATGTGTTTGTAAGAAACATATAGACATAAAAAATATAGATAGGAAGAAAATGAGGTTCAGTATCCTCATTAAGGTTTTAAAGGTATGTGAAAGATTTGATAATGAAGGTTTCCTAATATCATCAACAAGAAGAACAAGAGGAAATGGCTGTAAATAGGTTGCGTGAGGTACCCAGAGGATGCTAGAAAGTTGTTACTGACAGAGTGGTTGAAGAAATAAATGAATTACAAGAAAAATTTGAAGACTTTAAGAAATTGTATAATAGAATAAATACCCAGATAAGACATCATAAGTTCAACTTGCTCAATTAGTTCATCTGGGACCAGATAAATAGTTGCTTGAACGAGACATAATGGGAAGACGATACGACCACCACGGAGCTAAACCAGTTCCTAGGGAGGCTGAGCTCACTGGGAGTATAAACCAAACAAATACCACTGCGGCAGTCTAGAAGATGCACACCGGAAAGAGAGGGGCAGTAGGCTCTGATGCACGAAAGAAATCTTTGGTTAGTGAAATGGTGAACAGTGAGCACAGACTCTAGTTACATCACACAGAGTCCAAGAGGGAGAAAAGAGCTTTAAATAATAATAGAAGAACTTCCAAATACTTCTTTTACGAAAAATGCAGGGCGAAACCCTCAGATATAGGGTTTTTAACTAAAAGAGATGGGACATACATCGATGACACTAAGGTAATGAGGAAACTACTGACGTCACAGTATGACTGTTCAGTGAACCACTCATCAGTCTGCATATTGAAGGCCCTAACGTATTTTACATAGTGAGACTCAAAATACCACTGACATCCAGTTTCTAACGAATCCCTCTCCCTATTTGCATGCCCATGCATTCTGTTCCAGGCCCAGATTTTAACTCCAAAGTATGCCAAATAAACACTATCTCGGGCCTTTTGCATTTTATGGAAAAGCCTGGACATGGGTGTCATCCCACAGTCATTAAAAACTACTGATATAGTCCCACTTCGCAAAAGGAGGCAATAAAGCAATTACGGAAAAACTGTTGACCACTAGCACTAACTTCACACCTTTCAAAGAGGCAAGATTGCCAGTCACAAGGAATTGTAACAATTGCAGAATCCAGGGCTGAGCATGGACTTAGAACTGGTTGCTCCTGCTTTCACAGTGGCTAGACTATTATGATGTCTTGAATACTTTGGAATTTAAGCTAAATGTTCATATCATGTACATTGATTTCACAAAAACCTTCGACAAGTGCAAACACAATGTAATAGCGCACAAGATGTGTATATAATGAATAACTGGTAAAGTGGAGAGAGAAAAGGAGTAATCAGTGAAAAACTTTGTTCCTCACGGGATTGTACTTACCTCACTTTTTTCTCATTATATTCAACACAGACTAAGACATTAATCATAATTTTTGTGATGACACCACACCCTCAAAGTGGCGTATGATGAAGACGATGAATCTTCAACGGAATATAAATAATCAAGGATTCCAGTGGGCCTCAGACAATGTAGATATAAACCCATATGTACACCTGTTAACCCTTTTGGGGTCTAGTTCCTAGGCCTTTTGTGTATCCATATGCTCTTGCGCTACCGTCCACAGGATGGATATAGAGTGTACAATAAACTAGCCACCTCAGTGGCAAAATCTAATCTCAGACAACAATATAATATTCATTGAAGATTAATTTTAGTTGCTCTCCTATGGAGGAAATGTAACGGAGTAGATTCATACGTTGTATTATCCAGTCGGGTAATGATATTTCTTCAGAGGCGAGGCTTAGGTTTATTGGCATAATGCGCAGTCAGTGTGTTGAATGCTAGCTCTACCAGGCCAATGGCTGGATGATAGAATTTTGAGAGAGCGTCCAGTTGCTAGGATGTCTCGAGCGAGAGAGAGAGCTAGCCAGGGTTTCGTGGAGTGAGCTCTATGTAGAACTAGGCCCGTACTAGATGGCATCATTAGGTCTAGCAGCTATGGCGTGGAAAACAAAACCCGACCAAGTTACATATGGCTGTCCCAACTGTAACCAATGTTGGAATAAAAACCTGACAGTTACATCACTCGACCATGCTACATATGGCTGTCCCAACTGTAACAAATGTTGGAATAAAAACCTGACAGTTACATCACTCGACCAAGTTACATATGGCTGTCCCAACTGTAACAAATGTTGGAATAAAACAAAACCCGACAGCAGTTACATCACTCGACTACGTTACATATGGTTGTCCCAACTGTAACAAATGTTGGAATAAAACTCCCTCTCATAAAAACAGGGCACTGGCATTGGTGCTAGCATGAACTGCAAAACATGGGCATCAAACAAAATGTAGGGGAAGTAAAAAAAATGGGGGTGTGGTAAAAAAAATGTTGGACATAACAGTAAGTAATGGTAGGGCGTCACTGAATTCTAGCAGGAAGAAATACACCATCCTGGGACTGGCCCACAGACAGTGCAATGCTTCGGGAGATATCACTACAGCTGAGCTGCATAGCATGATATGTTCGTCTGCTGGAATGGTAAAGCAAAGTAGTCATCAGGGGAGGAAGTCACTACAGGGTTCACTTAACCTGTGGTATGGTTTGGTGGTGCTGGCAAGTGAGGCATCATGGAAAGTGCATACTGGAACGGGACCTGTAGGCTGTGTAGCACTGCAGGGGAGCTATTGACTGGGACTGTGGCAGGACAATTGCAGAAGGGTGTTGTAGCACAGCATAACTTAATGGTGCCTACAAGCATGGCATCGTGGAAACGACTAAAGACTAAGTCGAGGTTACTTTCATTGATGCCGGTAGGCGATAATTGCCAGAGAACTGTGCGAGAGACGACTCGGTGATGTGACATCAGCGAGAAGCAACATAGACGACTCACACATCTGATGCCAGGACTGACTTTAGAATCAGTGGACAAGTGGCTACATCAGGGTGTTACTTGTAACACTGAGGGATATGTCACATTAGTCTACAAACGGACCACACTGTGGAACATAA